AAGAGAGAACTGCTGGTGCGAAACTGTCGGTTGAGGAACCGCTACGGGGTAAACCCCATAGTCACGAGAACCCGCTGTGCAGTGAAAGCAAAAGGTAACCTAAGCCCCGGGACTTGGAGTGGCGAACCACATAAAGGGTCACCAATCGTATGGCCTCCGAAAGCTTCAGTGTGATTGGGGCTGGGTGTCACGGGTTGTTGCTAATCCTCCTTCCTGTGAAACTCACGAAATTCGCCTATAAGACCAAGCCTTTCAGACGGCCTCTGCTGAGGAAGCCCTAATCACTGCCTGCCTGGGGAGGTATTTCCCCACCAAAGTGAAAGGGGCTATCATCGAGTCAGTGATCTATTAGAAATTCACTTAGGGGAGTTAGAAAAAGCTCTGATTCTAAACCAATCAACCCTATTTGTGGCAGTAGTCCTCGGCTCATCTGGGTATCGATGCCTATCGGGCAACCTGGACGTCTGACCTCGTCCAAAAGATATATTATCCGATGAACTAGACAGTAGTTTCCGGTTGATTGTGAGTTCCATAAACCGACCAGCTGCATTGCAGGTGAGGCTTAGACTAGCTACAGGCTCTATTTTTGAATTCCCGAAGAGAATTCACCTTTTACCTGGTAACCTGTCCGCGTTCCGCTCAATGGTAAATCATAGAATATTTTATTTGTTATACCAACAATATTACCGTGATTTGTTTGGTCTAGTCTGAACTGAGACGCGTGTGAAATATAATATAGCATAATAGTTAAAAAGCACTTGATAGAACCGTTATTCTCTGATTTTTGTTGGTACTGGAAAATAGACAGACTGAATTCTTTGGCCAATAAGGCCTGTGTTATTTGGTCATGGTGATTGCAGTTACTGTTGCCACTGGTGGTAGACAGCTCTACTGTCGTCCGGTTCAATACTACGCCTAACCTATCGGGACCTTGTGTGGTTCACCACTCCAGGTCCGGAGCTTAGATTACCGGTTTCCATCACTGAACAGCAGGTCCTCGTGACTATGGGGTTTACCCCGTCTTCTGGTCATCACACGAAAGTGTGTGATAAAAAAATGCAAAGTTTTGTATACTCATTCGTTTTCATCTGAAGTTTTCATTTGGTGCTCCTCATTCTCACGGATTTGTGTTGTCCAACATTTTAATTGAAAATCTTCAGGGCTTTGTTCACAGATAAACTTGTCTTTGGCTCCCGTAAGTCGGTCTTTCATCCATTTCTTCGTTCGTTGTCTTTGTGAATGCTCTTTGGTTCCTTCCCCCTCGCGAAAAAAATTACCTTAGGTCTCACACCCATTTCAATGTTTTCTCAATATTCATAAACAGTCAGCTTTATATTTCCCTTCTGAATAACGAGCAATCAACAGAACTTTTACCTAAAAGCTTACCAGTGAAAGTCGTTGTATATCTTTTCATTCTGCCGAACGATAAATATTTCATGAAAATGCACAACCAAAATGACTAAAGGGAACCGGACAAGCAGTGTTGAGGATAGGCACAGAGTTTGAGGTAATTACGGTTGTCCATTTGAACAAGTAGTCGACCTCCATAGATTATGTTGGTTGAGGCATGTGTTACGCAGTTCACCAGATAAGTTGCCGCGGCGAGGAATATTCGCCGAGGTGGGTAGCGGTTGGAAAAGGTCAAGGGTGATCAAACGAAGACCTGGCATGAGGGTATGAAAACGTTAACCAGGACACTGGGTCACATTGGTACCGTGAGACTCCCTGAATGAGGACATCAAGATCATGGTCACTCATGGTTAGAGACACTGAGTGATATGGCTGGGGGATTCACTCAGCGGCATTCGTGCTTTTACTTACTATTCCTGCAACACTAGTCCATATGAATTCGCTGTCTTCTCTTCGACTCTGCCCTTATCATTCTAATCTTCATTCTGCTCTTCTCTCCAAATGGACAGCCAAAAGGCAGCAACCAAAACCAGCGCATACAAACGCATGGTAATGGTCGAAAAACTAGAACTGAAACTGTTATCATTATCATGCAATCGTTAACATCGTTGACCATATGCATTTTGTATATTCATATTTGGTCAATAGAATAGATAAGACTTGAGAATGCAACATTTATGTAATGTTATATTTTTGGGTACTTCCTTCCAGAAGCTTGTACAATGAACAAATAATTACAAAGCTCAATAAAGTTGAATTGATAATGCAGGAAAGTACATATACATCTGTCATGTATGAGACTGAGTTCCAATCACGTTATCTAAAACTTTTATTAATCAGTCAATCAAAGTTTTCACAACTTAGCACACGGTTAAAAAGTTGACACTGGGTTCTTCTGCTTGAGGATGACAGCAGGTCACCCAAAACCTCTAGGAGCATCTACACATCTACACTTCAGATTTAAATGTATTGTGAGTCCTGGACTTCTGAACTGTGCTGCTAAGGATTAAAGATCCTTCTAATTGAACATTAGCTCCTAATAAACTCCAACCTTTAAATACCGTTCTGATGCTTTGTGAGTAAAAGCTCTGGTTGTAAATCTTCACTTTAACTAGGGTAGCTGGGCGTTATCCTACAAAAAAGATTGCGGATTGATTTCACTACCATAAGACACCTGATCCCTGACATTCTCGGAATCCAAACCATCAGAAGATGCATACACAAGGACCTTTCTACCAAGTTTGAATCGCTTGATAACAAACCAGTAGTATTAATTCACTGCTATAATGTTTGCCTTTGAGGTCTATATAACTGCAGCCTGAAAAACAAGAAGACGAAGCTAGCCATTTTTTCGTTATTCATTCATCATCTGATAAACTTCACGCGCCATTTATCATCCTGGAGTAGCAGCGATAAGCGAGGTGCCATGTAGAAAACATTCGGTGTATGCATTATGTTCCACCAGCTGAATCTACGCATGTGGATTCGTTGAGACAACCAGTGCTTTGCTAACCACTCTCAGACGCTACACCTCTGCAGTACTTCCAATCCTTTGAGTTTGTTTTATTTGTTCTCAACTGCACACACGTCACCTGTTTGGTACTAATTGGAGTAATCAGCTTGACCAACCATTGTGCAAGTTTGTGTTGGGGAGAGTTAACCATCCATAAGATTCCACAAATCGGGGATCCCATTACTACCAGACTGTGCAACTTTGGACTGAAGGATACATTTCAATTAAAAGAAGCAATACCAGAAGTAGATTACTGCAGTTATTTTCTCGCCTCTTACGATATTACTTCATTGTTCACAAATGTCCTGGTTGAGGAAGCTGTGAAAAAACTATGTAAACATGCCAGTGCAATAGGTTTCCTCGCCACTGATTTGAAAACCCTACTTGATTTATGCGTTCACGACGTACAGTTTGTTTTCAACGGATATATCTATAAACAGGTTGATGGTGTAGCTATTGGTAACCCTTTGGGGCCAATTCTTGCTGATATCTTTCTGTCAACACTAGAAAACAAATTGGAAGATGAACTGAATTGGACACTACCATGTTGACAGTATGTTGATGATACACTAGTTATTGCACGCAACGGAACAGATATTAGAACATTATTTCACAAATTGTACTCATTGCATCCCAACATCAAACTGACATTAGAATGTGAACTGGAATCTGAACTTCCATTTCTTGACTTACTACTCAGTCGAATGTCGGACGAGAAGCTACAGATATCTATGAATCGAAAGCCTACATGGACAGGACAGTATTTATAATCCAGGAGTTTTTGCCCTTTGGGATATAGGCGTGGTCTGGTACGCACTCTATTTCACGCGGTTCGCCCACTAGGTAGTCCTCATGTCCTGCCAGATGAACTAGACCGATTGACCCATGCTTCCCTAGACAATCGTTATCCTATCACATTCATTCACAAGTACAGCAAGCCGATCAACACAGCTTATTTCCCTATTGGCTAAGAAGAAATATGTCGATATACAACTGCCTTTCAAGGGAGATGATGTGACAACAAAGATATGTCGTCCTTTAACGCACGCCGTGGAAAGAACGTACATTTCTGCGAGACTAATGATTGTCTACGGGACGTTTCGTTGTCTCACACGCATTAATCTGGATCGAGAAGACGTTAGTGTTACCTTCAACTGCATCTATTCAGTTGAATATATCTACGGTCAGCGGTACATCGGAAGGACAACGTCCTCTATCAACCAGACCGTGTGAACATATTCCGAAACAACTTGATCTTTGCGGAGGAAACTACCATCTAGTGCGATTGACCGTCATTTGTTAGATTCCGGTCACCATGTGGACGCACCCAAAGCCTTTCGAGTCATTGCGAGGCCTCAAAGTTCACGGACTTAGAAGCGATAATTATTGATCGCTTGAAACCGCAATTACACTTTCAAAAAACATTTGTGATGCAACTGTTGTTGTCGTGGTAGTGATGATGTTACACTTAATACCATCCTACCATAGCATGACGTGACATGACCTTCCCTTGCCCTCCCTCCACCACATTCACAACATCGTTCGGATCAGTTCACTTCCATATCAAATTTTGTCATCTAACTTGACCTCAATCCCTGGCCAAACACAAATCACGCAACTCACTTGTCCACCACATTGATCAAATGACTCAATTCAGCTCTTATGTTTCTTCGTTTTACATGATCATATAAATGTGCGTTTACAGCCGAATGAGAGCACGCGAAATCGATGGCCAATATCAGTTTTGCCTACATATGTCTTCTTGTGTTGAGGAAACTTTTAAATGCTTCCATCCCTTTAAATATGTTATAAATGACAACTTGTAACCTGTCCACCTATATAGATGGAAGTGTAATGTCTTTAACAACGAAAGACGGAATTTGTCCTCAATTCTCTTCACTGCGTATCAAGCGAATGATAAAGCGTTCAGTAGAATTTTGCGATAAGATTCTGCTATCATGTTTGAAATCATGTTTTTTTTCTATTTTACAGAGAGCCCCAAACGGTCATCAGTGTCATGAAAAAGAATTCCGTCTGAAGTCATGAATTATCCCCGAAATTAATCCCAATCAATATGATGTTCAAGAGGCAGTCTTCACTTCAATGGCGTGTGGGATGTGTACTCCTTTATCTTTGCTTCCTGACGATCAAGACTTATTTTCATCACCTAAAACAGAACGAAGTGCTTGATCCACAAAGATCACATGACTTTGAAGAACAGAATCTAGACCCGTTGACAGCATCCGTTTCAAATTTTCAAAGACAGCGGCATCTTTTGGGTATAAACATTGTTCACCCACCGCCAACAGCAAACTGTACACCTTTGGCTGTGGAAAATTTCCCCAAAGACCTTTTCACGCAAAAGCAACGCCAGAGAGGTGCTATTATCATTCATATTATTGGGGCAGTCTATATGTTTATTGGACTGGCCATCCTTTGTGATGAGTATTTTATTCCCTGTCTGGAACGGATCTGTGATGGTAAGCAACACGGGATTCTGATTAACACACACTGTTTCTAGTACTACATTTGCAGCCAGATGTGGCCGGAGCAACCTTTATGGCTGCTGGAAGCTCAGCTCCTGAATTGGCCACCACACTTGTTGGCGTATTTATTGCAAAGGTAATATCTCGGATTATTATTTAGTTTATGAACGTAAGCTTCTTTATCATGCGATAACCATTCTGGTTCAACCCATTTAAAACCATGAATCATCGTTGTAATTTTGGGTAACAACTGATCACCTAACGATTACGCAAAATCTATTTGTTATTCCATAGATTGGTGGTTGATCCTTCCCAATAGGCTTATGAAAGCAGGCGCTTGTTATACGAAACGAAGCACTTGACTATGAAGCAGTAAACTAAATAGGGGTTCAATACATTAGGCATGGCAATACCTATCTTGTATCTGTCTGATTTACATAACTAAGGTTACTTCGAGTGGATAATTCGACTTTAGAAGTATTGATGACAGTTTTGCATAGCTAAGTTCCTCGTAGGTGCATACTTTTCGTGGGCTACTTCTCCAGCGTTAAATTATTACATTTTGACCGGAAAATCCTCACTTACTTATAGAATTACTAATGTGACGAGGTTTAGAATCGCCAAATCAGACCAACTGTATTCCTTTCAGACCTCTGCTTCATTACATTTATAAACCAAGAGGAAATGTTGTTTACACAAGCTCGGATGAGTCCGTCTTGTTTTTTGTACCAAACGACCACCGCGATGTGGCCCACATTCTCTTTGGAATCGCAAAGGTTGGTCAGATGACTGATGTTCAGTTCATCGTTGTCTTTCAGTTACTGTTCTCTTCAAGGGGCCAATGCTAGATGGATAGAATGAAAAAAGCGTTATTGAAACAAAGTTAATGGATAAGAAAGGTTCTTTTTCGGAACGAAACCGGGAGTCACTGAAGATAAAATATTACAATAGTATTGCCGAGTAGTATATTACCATGAACGTTTTCGGTATTATTGCTACAACAGACTGACCTTTATAAAGCAGTTTTATTTCTCATATGATGAAAATGATCTCCCTTTTTTGCTGGTTCTAATATGACATAAAAATATAATTAATGTAAGGTTTTGCTTTTATTGAGTGACGTTTTTTTAAAGTTAATTTTCCGGAAGTTAGTAACAATGAATCCAAGAAATGTTGGGCGCAGCCCAACCAGNCCTCGGGATGATGGTCACCGATGGTTAGAGACACTGAGCGATATGGCTGGGTGTCGCAAACAGTGGCGCTCGTGCATCCATTCGTTATTTTCCTAAAACACTATATGTATTCCCCGTCTCACTCTATATGTATTACCCATCTTCCGCTNTATTTTATCCAAATGGGCAACCAAAAGACAGCAACCAAAACCGGCGCACGAAAGTGCAGGATTAATGGTTGTAAAAACTGAACTGGGCGCAGCCTATTCAAGTTAACCACTGATGGTTGTATCCAAACACCATCTGCGAACTCATTTGATGTTGGCTTGGACCGTTTAATACCTAAGTGCTTGTACAACGAAGTAGTTGGCATCCACCATCTTTTACGGGGCCTCTTTCCACACTTCAAAATCAGTAACACTTCGAAAAGTGAAAGTGAATGAGGCATCACCATTTACATTCTCAGCCTAAACTATATGAGCTACGAAGATTGATCTGGTTTCTCAAACGTGGTGTAAACCGGACTATATGAGCCTAATGATAATCCTGGTTAGTTGGACACTGTTACGCACCTGGATTCCCCCCCGCACGTAGAAATATGAGAGAAATTTGGCCTCAAATCCCACCCGTCCCCGTATGTTTTCTATTCCAAATTGACCCGTACTGTTCATTCTCAATTCAATGCTGCTCTTTTTGTTCTAACTAAGGGGTTGTACTAGCCTGAAAATGAAATTATTGAAGAAGTGCGTGTTCTGATAAATGGGTTTCAAAAATCACATCAGTTTAATGAATGTTACCATTAATCCACATTGCTTTTCGCGGAACACTCGGGTGAAAAAACGACATAATAGGGATTTATATTCTTGCTTTTCATGTAGAATGAGAATATTGTAGCTTTCACTTTGTAAAATCACTATTCTTGCACTTTCGTGTACTGGTTCAGGTTGCTGTATTTCAGCTGTCCATTTGATAGAACAATGCGGAGGAAGTGGACGCAAGGAAGTAAAAACTGACAAGGTTACCAGGGTAAAAATATAGAATGCAATAAAACTAATAATAAACCTGATCCATTTGACGCGGTTCTCGAAAACTCTTTCATTTCTACATGTCAAGTGACTTAAAAAGGCCTTCCAGGAAGATCAAAACGTCGTTTGATTTTTGTGGTTTTGGCTAATGTATGTATTGTATGTATTTCACATACTCCTGAGACCAGACTATGTGCCAAACAAATCATGGTACAATAATCTTCATAAAATTGAATGTCAAACATCTAAGGTGACCAATACACCTCCATACCAAATCGAGCCGGTGACCACTACCAAAACCGGGAAGGTGTGTGTGGTTCTCACACCTCTTCTTGGTTAGTTTGGAATAAGGGTTTTTAGTCCAATCCCCTAGGTGAACTGCCAGTGGTCCACCGACCCGGTTATAGCCGCCAGATATTGGCTTTTCGTCCTCTCACTTTGATGGGAAAACACCTCTCCACCTGTCGGTAGTGAGTAGGGCTTTCTCATTCGACGCTATTTGAGGCGCTTGGTCGTATGGGATCATTTCTCGAGATGCAAGGAAGCGGTGACCAGTCGCAACCCCCCCGGCGTTGTGGCTAAACGCAACAAAAGCACAAGGCACCGTTTATTCAATAACATCCAATCCAGATTTTTATCTGCTAGTTTCCATTTAAATTGAATTTGAGAACAAATTGAGTAGATACATATACACTTCTACTTACGAAGCAACCGTTTAGTTCAGTATTTCTAATAATTGATTAGACTGATCCTGAGATTTTCCTTCTATTTGAATAACAAGACAGTATAAAACAAGTATACCTATTTAGCAGTACAGTTGACTGAAGTAGAACATACGCTTTCTGCGAGAGAAAAACAAAAGCAAAGTGCCGTTGGTGGGTGTGCCTATTTTTGCGACTTGGCCAACGATATTTGCTTGGGCATTGAACAAGCTGTAGGCCGATTTGAATTTCATTCGTGCTCTGATAGTGTGCGACGTCGTGCGAAGTTGGCTGTTTTATTTTCCCCGCTTTTCACCTATATTTTTTCGTTCACCCATGGTTATTTCGGCGCCGTATATGGTGTTATATATGTATATATACGTTTAGATGACAGCACTATATTCATGCAATGAAGTACGGTAAAAGACTACTTTGATTTTGACCACAGGATATGTTTTCATTTGGAATTCGACAGAATCTGGTTCAATCTAAGTTGAAGGCTAGTCGTTTTTTCCTAGCTCACCGTCCTGTCCAATTGCCTGTTGCCGTATTAAGTAACCTAATTCTTTTACGATCTCTATTTCATGTATAGATATGACAGCCGATGAAACTAAGCTTTAAGATTGTTATCCCGAATTCCCATATTTACCTGACTTAGACACTAGGTTTTTTAGCAAAGGATAGCTATATGTATGATATCCCTTCCGATTTCTTAACCTTATGCCGATAAACGCTTTTCAGGCTTGTGATCATTTCAGTATACCTTTTCTGTGCACTGTGTTAATGGATGACGATTGTACACTATTATGTCAATTCACGAACAGATTGTCTACAATGCGTTTTCCCCTTATTTTTCAAACATCTTCATTTCACTCCAATAAAGGATGATATCGGCCTAGGAGCCGTTGTGGGGTCGGCTGACTTCAACATCATGCTTGTGGTGAGCGTTACTGCTCTATTTGCTAAACAGGTGAGTTCTCAAAACGTGCATTGTGTATTGTTCTATCAGTGAGTATTTTTTGACTAATTCACTTTTACCCCTATTTTTGAGTAATCCCCATTGATGCATCGTAATTGCTGGACAAATTTACTAATAAAATGGAACCATTCATATTCTCTAGTCCTGATGAGTTTCAGTTTCAGTTTGAACAACCATTAACCATGCACTTTCGTGCGCCGGTTTTGGTTGCTGTCTNCTGTCTTTTGGCTGCCCATTTGGATGAAGAATAGGAGAAGAAAGGAAAGTTGAAAGTGGAGTCGAACAGAAAATGGAGAAGTTCAGTGGTCTAA